ATTAATTGTTGACGTGGATGAGAATGTCAGTGCCACATCAAAGTCTGATGTATAATTTAACCAAAATTGATTAATTACTATGTGAAATAAGACAATATATAGTTACGATAGGAAGTTGCACAGCACTAGTCTGTGTATGAATTGCACTTAGTTAGATTATTTGGGTATGAAAACCTTGAAATTCCCCTCACAAACACCAAGTGGAAGAGTTGAGTTTGCTTCTTCCGAGTGGCTGAGCCATTTATCCGCACTCATCAAGAATCCAACACCGATGATGTTTCTATGATGAACAATCCCTCGAAATTCACGCGAAATATTTTGAAATTGTCAGTACCTACAAGAATTTGACCAAATAGCTATAATTTTTTGTGTGGCTATGTTTATAATTTTGTAACAAAATGAAGGTTGCTACAAATTATCTTTTCTAGTGTCGGTACCTAGTATTACATCCATATATGGACTGAATATTTTGTATGTCTCGTTACGTTGAAAATATATTCTTTCTTTTTTTTACATCAAATTTAGCGATGATAGCTAGATATGCCATAAAATATATGTCCTATTGAAATATATACTATATATATGAGTCCTAACAAATGCATGCGGCGATACGGGATCGATCCAAGTTCACGATGATCTCCGATTCACAACAACTCATAACCCTCATCAAATCGGAAAGCTTCCACCTTGAGATTTACGGTATCATCCTAGATATCACTGAGATCGCGAAGAGATTAGATATCAATTTTTTTTTTTGTCTCTAGATCGAAAAATGAGGAAGCCGATCAGTTGGCAAAATCGTGCTTAGCCGATGTAACAAACAGACCCGGTTCGAAACCGGTTTAAGCAATACAAACCAGAAATTTCGGCTAAAAAAATAAAAACAAATGCATGCAAGTAAGAAATAAACATGGACAGTATTTGATGGGCACTCTTGCGTTGTACTCTATAAAACAACGATCTCTCCTCTCCTTCCTTTCTCCGCGAAACTCACATGCTTCTGCATTATTTGAAACAGCAACTTGTTAACCAAAAGAGATAATTTTGCTTTATTCACTAGTACAATGTAAAACCGACCGACATGAGGTCGTCATTTTGAAAGATATACCCACTAGAATCTTTACATAACTAAACAAAAACAAAATAGTTTTAGATGTGATCAACTTTCAATCAAATTTTGAGAAACAAAAAATAGTTTTGAGAACCATTAGAAATACAATACAAATGGAAAGATATATATCCTCTACTTGAGATTATAATTCACATAAATATTTTATCAAAAATAAAGCAATTTTTTAAAATAGAAATAGAGAAAGAAAAAAACTAATTGTTTAGAAATATGTGACTATTGAAAAAATA